AGGGTCTCCTCCCAGCCGCCACTGCAGCAGGCAGCGACAGAGGACCTGACCAGCAGGCCTGTGAGCACCCTGTCCTCCAGACCCGCCTGCTCCCTGCCTCTGCGGAGAAGTCTGCGGGATGGGGCGGGGCGGGGCGGGGCGGGGTTTTTTCAGACACGGAAGACCTTGCAACTTCAGTTACCCACGGGCCCGCCTGGGGTGCGGTCATCCTTGTTTGTGCTGCGCTGGGTCAAAGTTCATGGTACTCCTCCCTGAGCCTTTACTTTTCTTGGGAGACTTCCAGAGGCCACGGCCCTCTGGGACTCCTCTGGACCACCGTGTTAGAGCCTTTGAGGAGGTCCTGGTTCTTCCGCTAGACCTTGTACAGCTTTCTAAGTAATTCTGCCAGAAATTAATATAGCATTTATTCACTCAGGACTTGTAAATATTTCCTGGATTTAAACTCATATCTTCGTCAAGGGAGTTGCCCGCCCTTCTTTGTATTGCATTCAACAAACGTCAGTTTAATGCCCTTGGAAAAAGAAATCTATTAGATGCGTACTCTGCACAACTGCATGTTCAGTGGTGATAGGGCACATTTTGATAGGGACGACAAAGCTTTAGAAATAATCAGGTTGTAGGTTTTGATAATCATTACGACAGGCAGAACAGGAACTGTGTGGTAGGGGAAACCTAGTTAGCTTTACCAAGGTTTCAAACATGTTTTAATGATTCTATGTAAACAAATGGCCAAAGTATAATGAACTTTGATCCAAGTGCACCCTGTGTTAACCAGAGACCCATCTTGACCCAAGCTGAAAGATGGTTCCTGCCAGGGGTGAAAGTGCATCATGTTACTCAGAACCATTATTTATATTTTCGTTTAATCAGCTAGACATGTTGATTAAACAACACCAGAAACCGAATACTGCTACCCTCACCCCTAAACCCGTTTATGGACTTTGACAATTTAGCGTTTTATGAAAAAATTGTTTCATTTCAGGGACACGATTTGATTCTAAGCCCTGGACTTCATTCTCAGAAACTCTCCATCATTAACTCTTGTGTGACCTCCCACTGACAAAATTTGTGTTCTAAACACTATATATTTTTAAAATCCTACCCCATTCCAATTGTAATTCTCCCCTTTAAAGTTTTGAGTGTTAGGGTATACAGAAAAGGCCTGTGAAAATGGAGCTGGCAGGACTCTAAGACTAGTTCTGAAGTAGATGTCTCCTGAGCAGCATGACAGAGTGCCATTTTGAGAAGGGATGCAGAGAGATTTCAAGATGGTAAAACTTGGTTTTGAGGGAACTTGATTTTTATAGGCCTAGAGAAACTGCCCCAAACCATTATATTAAAACAACTATAAAGGCTGAGCAAGAGAATCTTTTTCACTAGGTCCTCCTTTTCTAAAGAGTATTTATTGAGTTCATCTTACCAATTCTAAAGTTGGCAATATGGATAAGATGGGGTAAGTTTTCACCACCTAGGTGTTCAGTTGTGTCTATTCATATAAAAAGAAATGCATGACCACTAACATGTTATTTGCAATCAAGAAAATAGAAATACAATGAAGGAATTTTAAAGACAGAAGATACAGCATGATATAAAAATAATAAGAAAGCAAGTTGTGTAGTGTAGATATTCCTAGATTAGTGTCTCTTCTGCCACTCTATTTCGATTCTCAGATGTAGCAAGTTTTGTTAATCATATTTATCAGTTTATGGCACTTCAGTGATCTGTTTTTTCCTTTTAAATATGTATCTTTGAATAATAAAAATCTTATATTGTGGAAAATAAAAATAGAAATAAAACATAAGATAAAAATCCCAGTGTCTTGAAAGGAAACCAATTATCAATGAAATCTTTTTAAAAATTCATTCTATCAATGAACTCTAATTTCTAAAATGTTGGTACTTTTTCTGGTCTATGATTACTGCTACTGGTAGCAACTCAAGTTGCTCCATGTAGTTGATTATAAATAATTTAGATATGATCTAAGAGCATAAAAAAAGAAAATGACATCATCCTTTGGGCAAGAAACAGTTCTGAAATCCTAGTTTATATATAGTGGACCTACAGTTAGCCCTGAGAATGATTCTTATTTAGAAGGAGCTTCAGAAGATCTCTGAACTCCTGGAAAGACATTGCAGCATTCCATTCCGGAAATTCTTGAGTTTTGTTGGGAGAAAAAAATCCCTCACAAATAGAACCAAGATTTTAGGTAAGACAAGGTAGAAAATGAAAAATGTTAAAATAAATGGGATGAGAACGTTTTTCACTTTGAACCCTATGGGGGCTAATTCAGATATAAATTTGGTCATGAAGGATCTGAGAATTGGGTTAAATTTCACTCTTTTACACTGTGTTCTACTCCACTACTTGTAGGCTACTTTTTCTATGGAGACTTTGTGGAACCTTAAGTGTATGGTTATTTTGGACAATCCATTAAATGTCTCTGGGCCCTTTTCCTTATCCCTTTTCTTGCTACACACAAATAAGGGACAACCTAAACTTGTTCATTAAGCAAAGCTTGTGACACTGTGTCCCCTTCTACTCAGGAAGTCACACAAATTCTCGCAGATATTCAGATCTCTTAAATTTCCACATAACGCCTTCCTTAAGTTAGCCTAATTAACTTCCTGTAACGCGCCACTTGCCCAGCTGAGAATGGTTCGCAGTTATTGGACTGAGAAAACCACTTTTAGGAAAAAAACTAATATTCTAAGAAATATGAGGTAGCCGTACTGTAGAGCAGCAGTCCCCAACCTTTTTGGCACCAGGGACCAGTGCTCCTATGCAAATCTAATGCCTGATGATCTGAGGTGGAGCTGAGGTGGCGATGCTGGTGCTGGGGAGCGGCTGCAAATACACATGAAGCTTCAGTTTGCTACCTGCAGCTGAGGGTTCCTAAGAGGCTATTGACTGGTAAGGGCTGTGGCCCAGGGGTTGGAGACCTCTGTTGTAGAGAGCCTGGCTCTGGGAACCTAAACAAGGCAGACTGGACGCTACTATTTTTTCAGGCAAGTGAGAGCTTTTTTCTCACCTGTAAAATCAGGAGAACATCTTAGTGGGTTAACCTATACAAACAGAAAGGACTCTCACCTATTGGGAAAATACGGTTTTGCTAACCCCAACTCCAGGATGGAATACCAGCATCCTTGGTTTTTAGTTTTCAATAAAGCTTCAGTTAGTAAGGAGAGGAGCCCAGCTCCTTTTCTTCGGGATGATCACGCAAACTCTAAGTGTCTAGGTTTCCCGAACTATAAAGGGGATGGCTAATGTAGTTCACCTGCTTAAAGAAGAGATCACATTCAGAGCCCTTCAAACCCTCAACCTCTCAGTTCGCTAATGATTTTCACTTTTGTTTTGGCCCCAGGCGCCGCCTGGCGGCTGATTTCGGAAGTCGCCTCTGAGCTTCGGGGTCCTGGCCGTGGCCAGGCCTGCCAAGGATTTGCCTAACTCTAGAGATCCAGTCTCCGCCCCTCCCCGTCGAGGTTTTTAAGACGACGATGAAGGGGCTGGGGTTAAGGCGAAGGGGGCGTCCGACAGCCTGTCTTCTCCTTGAAGGATGGCGGAGTCAGGCAGTCCTCGGGCAGCTCGCGACCCGGAAGTCGCCGCCGGCGCGAGGCCCCCGTTGCCGAGCGCGGGCGCGAGGGGCGGAGCTTGTCCGAAACGGGGAAGGGGTCACCGCGGCTCCCGTTCCTCAAGTTGGCGGTTCCGTCAGGCGCTGCTAGGCGGGCGTCGAGCCCTCAGGGCGGGTGGCCGCGGTCCCCGGGCGGCACTCCCAGCTGCTGTCAGAGGCGACATGAGT